CTGCTGCTGCTGCTGCTGCTGCTGCTGCTGCTGCTGCTGCTGCTGCTGCTCTTCTGGCTCTTGCCTCCCATTACTGCTAAGAGGATGCAAACCCTTTGTGTGTTGCCACAACATTACAAGATTCCAGAATACTATTAAAGGCCTGGGGATCACATTATCGGTGGGAATTTGCACCTGGGGAACTATTGGGACACTTACATAGACTTCAGAAAAGACCCATACCCATTTTCTCTCCCATATTTGTAAGTTTTACCCAGAGGAAAAGTATCTAGGTGGTTGTTTTCTGTGTTTGCTCAGAAATGTATGTTCTAATGATGTTTCCATCTCCTAGTGTAGTTCAAATCGTTGTGCTTTTCTCAAAGAAAGAAGACAAGGCAAACTTCACCATCACATACAAGTGTTGCTGTAATGTTTCATAATGTTTCTCTCACTATAGACCCATAGCTAACAACTACCATCAGTTCTTGGCCTTGGTGTTTACAGTGACAGAGATCAACAAGGATCTGGTTCTCCTCCTCAACATCACTCTGGGCTTCAACATGTATGACAATGCCAATTGGAACAAGAGAGTTTTTTTGATCAGCCTCTTTCTGCTCTCCACCCATGACCAAATGGTTCCGGGTTATAAATGTGACCAGCGGACACTCTCCTCTCTGTCATTGGAGGTGATGACCCCAAATTCTCAGTGCCAATGGCCTCCATCTTCAGCATCTTCAAGGTCCCTCAGGTAAAGGGGCTCCTTTAGATACAGTTTTGGAGGAGACAAACTACAGAAGCAAACACAGAAATCCAAAATGACACCAAAAGAACGGGGGACATCAATAGCATGTGACTTAGATAATTGATCTTACAGATTTTATATTGTATGTGTCATGATATATTTTATAGAACCCTTAATTGATACATAATGTAGTATTTCAAGATGTATTATTCATAGAAGTGCAGCCACTGTTTAGTTGTACTTTATTCCCTGTACCAGATTTATGGTTTGTTCCCTCAGATTCTGACAAGTCACAACCAGGGATAATATGTTAATTGGTGGCTCTTCCTAAGAAAGGAAGAAGCTTACTCTCAAAATGACTCAGCTTGACTGATGGGGTGAAAAAAACAGACAATGGGGATCTCTGAAGTCACCATCAATCTTTACTTTTGTTTTTTAAAGAAGATTCTCACTTTTTCTAGCTCAGCATTGGCTTTGAGTACATTCAAGGAGACAGAAGAGTTTATCCTTCTTCCTTCAGGATTAATCCCAAGGAATTTCCTCAATTTTTGGGTTTAGTCCAACTACTTCTGTATTTCCAGTGGAACTGGGTTGGGTTTATTGCCTCCGATAGTGACAATGGAGAACGATTCATCTCAACTCTGAGGCCAATGCTCTTGGAGAAGGAGATCTGCCTGGCCTTCCCTCAAATGGTGAAACATTATGCTTCTCATTTTGGGAATCCAGAAATTCACTTTACATTCAAAAAAATGGGCTAATGTTGAAGTTATTCTTTCCTTTGGAGACCCTGACTTTGTTGAAAGATTTCTTTTGACTCTCAACCTCTTTGATAAAAGTCCATGTCCAAAAGTTTGGATCGTAACTTCCTTTTGAAAGCCACATACAAGCCATCTTCAAGATAGATGGGATGTTTTAAAGCACTTCCATTGGTCCCTGCATTTGACGGAACATGCTGGTGATGTCTCAGAATTCAGCAATTCCCTCCTCTCTTTGGATCCTTTGAACCCACAAGGAGATATGATTCTCCCAAGGTGGTGGGAAGAGATGAGTTCCATAAACCAGGCCACATTCATAATAAATGGTTGCAATACTGTACAGGAAAAGAGAATTTACAGAATCTGCCAACTCACATATTTCAAACAAGGATGACAGGTGAAAGTTACAATGTTTACAATGCTATTTATGCTGTAGCACATGCTTTACATGCAATGGATGCATCAAGAGTGAGGCCAGCCATAATGAATTTTGGAAAAAGAATCTCAAATGTCCAGTCATGGCAGGTAATTTCTGTCACTTTTTATTCAGTCCATACAGAAGAAACTGTAGTTCAGAACATATTAAAAGAGCAATTATTGGAAAAAAAATTGAAATTACCGTAATCTTTAGGTGAAAAGGTGCAGGGGTGGGGGAAGGGAAGAAGTATAAACCACTTGTCTTTAAGATCAATAGAGGAATTATCTTCATATAGCATCCTGAAAGGCCTTCAAAGGTTGCCTGAGATTCAGGGAGACAGTGTCACCCCAGAACAAGATGACAATCCGAGTGTATTTGGCCAAGAAGCTTCAACAAGGCAATTGAAGTCCTAGTGGGTGCATTTCCAGAACCACCACAGTTGCTCTCACTATATAGCCTGAACTCAACCTGTTCCTGCTCTAAAATTTATCAGACTTTTCCGACTCAAAATCTAAATGTTGTACCTTTTTGGACAGTGATGCGAAAACCCAAGGCAGGCATTACCACATAGTCCCACTTAGATCATAGAATAACAGAGCTGGAAGGGACCTTGGAGGTCTTCTAGTCCAACCTGCAGATTAGACAGAAAGCCCTACACCACTTCAGACAAATGGATATCCAACATCTTTTTAAAACTTCCAGTGTTGGAGCATTCACAACTTCTGGAGGCAAGTTGTTCCACCGATGGATTGTTCTAACTGTCAGGAAATTTCTCCTTAGTTTTAGGTTGCTTCTCTCCTTGATTAGTTTCCATCTATTGCTTTTTGTCCTGCTTTTAGGTGTTTTGGAGAATAGCTTGACTCCCTTTTCTTTGTGGCAACCCCAGAGATATTGGAACACTGCTATCCTGTCTCCCCTAATCCTTCTTTGCATCAAACTAAACATACCAATTTCCTGCAACTGTTCTTCATATGTTTTAGCCTCCAGCTCCCCTCATCATCTTTGTTGCTCTTCTCTGCACTTTTTCTAGAGTCTCCACATCCTTTTTACATTGTGGTGACCAAAACTGGATGCAGAATTCCAAATGTGGCCTTACTTATAACTATAACCATATTCCTTGTATCTTTACAATTTATATTGTTTTATTTGTTCCTTAGTATGATTTGATAGCTTATTAGTAACTCATGACTCTCACTAAGTGTTGTACTTTATCATTCTTGATGAATGTACTTTATTTTTTCTTATGTATAGTGAGAGCATTTGCACCAAAGACAAATTTCTTGTGTATCCAGTCACACTTGGCCAATAAAGAATCCTATTCTATTATGTGTGGCTTTCAACCAATTATTCAAATTTCTGAAGGTCACCTTTTTTTTCCAGCTTCTTCCTTATTTGATGAATGTCCAGTTCAACAACAGTGCTGGAGAAGAAGCCTCCTTCTCAGAAGATGGACTGGGATCTGCTCGTTATGACCTTCTCAATTAGGTTCTCCTCCCCAATCAATCAATTGTCCTTCAGAAAGTTGGGCAAATAAATCCCAGGGCTCCCCCAGGGCACGATGTCACCATTCACTCTGATGGAATTGTCTGGCCTACAGAGGTGAGCTTGAAGATTCAGTCTCTCCTGGGGATGCACAACTTCCTAACTAAATTATTGAATAAGGAAGTAACATGACAGCATGACATTTGGTGAAAAACCTGCTTTTCATGTAAGATGTTTGAGGCCTGATTTGTGTCAGGATTGGAAAGAACTTCTTGTAACTCAGTTGACCATTAGAGTAGGCAACAGTGATTTCTAAGGACCATTCCCATTGTAGAATCACACACAGGACTCAAAATCCAATGACTGAAGCTCAGTGTATTTTTTTTTTTTAATTTAATAGTGCGCACTGGAGCATTTAAACATTTAAACAATTCAAGAGAGATGGAGTGAATGATACAGTCATACCTGTAGACAGGTAATAGAAGATGTAAGCATAGATATTCATAATTGGTAAATTCAATAAAAATTACAATATTGTATTGTATTAATAAAAAACATCAGTTACATGCAACAGAAACATTGCTAAATCATACTAACCAAGTTCTTTAACATAATTTATTCTAAGTTTCTATTTTGCTAACACATTCTGATTCTTCCAAGAACTTCTTTTCTTCACACACTGTTCAGTTGGATTCTTATGATTTACTGATTCATAAAAGCTGTAGCTCAATGAGTCTTCCGTTGCATGCCAAAATCTGTGATTCAATCTCCTGCATCACAGGTGGGTCTGTAGTTCCACTGAACTGAATCTCCCAGGAGCTGTTCCTGGTTTCTGGTAGACTCTAGTGAACTATGTCTGAAGATGGAAAGAGAATGTGGAAGTGAATAAATCAAGATGATTTGATCATCTCAAGTACTTCTCTTTTCTCCTTCAGAAGGTGCCCTTTGCCAGGTGTAGCATGAAGAGGTACAGTCTTACCTTTAGCCAATAGAAGATGTCAGCACAGATATTCAAAATTGGTAAAACTCAAGTTACTTCCCAGCTATTCTACTGTTACTATCCTCAATAAAAAAGTATTATCTTAATTAAAAAAATATATCAGTTACTTGCAACTGAAACATTGGTAAAGGCTACTGGAAAATGAGTTCTTTAAGGCTGCCTCAGTTAGCACACATTTCTTTTATGTTTCTATTTTGCTAGCACACTCTGACTTCAACTTGGTTTCTTCACACCATTCACTTGGATCCTTGTGTTTCATTGTTTCATAAAAGCTATGGCTCATTCTTACAAGTCTTCCTTTCCATGCCAATGTCCTAATTTCAATCTCCAGCATCCACTTGTGGGTCAGGAATGCCACTGAACTGAATCCCACAGGAGCTGTTCTTGCTTTCTGATAGACCATGATGGACCATGTCTGAAGTTGGACACAGAATGTGGAAATGGATAAAATAATAATATTCAATGCTTGAGCTGTCTACAGTATTTCTCTTTTCTAATTTAGAAAGTTCCCTTCAGCAGGTGTGGCATGAAGAGGTGCCATGCCAGAGAGAGGAGGAGTGTTTCAGAGGGCAAGCAGGTTTGCTGCTACCAATGTGCCCTTTGTCCAGATGGGAGCTTTTCTGAACAGACAGGTAGGGTATACTTCAAATGCAGATCTTCCAGAATAAGTGAACCATTCCCTGAATTAAAATATTGATTTTTTTAAAATTATTGTTCATATAATAGATAGTCTTCAAAGTTTCAGGGTACAACTTATAGATTTTCCTTGATCACTTTTTCCCCCTTTTCAGAATGCTTGTGTCAACTCATAAAACATCCCTTTGCCTGTTTAAGTAGCCATTAAAAAGGCGGGGGAGGAAATCTGGAAGAGCAGTGCAGCAGTTTGGAAGTGAAAGTACATTTCAATTCTTATCTTTTAAAAAATATAGCTAAAATACCAGAGCTTTTGCCTGCAAAAATATTTAATTGGAGAACGTGATTGATGACACCCAGCCCATGAAGGTGCTCAGTTGGAGAATCTGATTTATGACACACCCAGTTGGAGGGGGGAAAACAGAGTCACAGGAGACTGTCAATGACCTAGGCCAGAGTTGGCTTCATACAGAGCAGTGCCAGTATGTCATCTCTAATAAATCCTTTGCAGTCGTTTGAAGTTTGGCTCGAGAATTATGATTTAATGAGGGTGATTGCTGGAATCCTGGCAGCTTGGTTCATAATTGTATATTCTTCTCCCTGTAACCTATTTCTTTATAAATCACTTTGGATCAGGAAAAGAGACCATTTCCTCTCATGAGTGAGGAAAACCATCATTTTGACATTGAAAGCCACAGAAGTCATAGAAGTTCCCAGTGAATGGAAAGTACCTTTTTTTCACAGCAAACTGATCTGGCCAGCTAGAGATGAATAGATGCATGCTGTTGGCAAATGTATCCCTGGATTATTAATAGTAAAGAAGGATTGGCCTTTTTTGATCCACCATGAAATACATAATGGTTCATTTGCATTGGAGGCTGTCCAAGGGGACACTCATGCCACCTCTGAAAGTGAGATAATACACATGGCTGATGACTCTTAAATGCTTACATAAAAACTCTTGATTTCAGATGCAGCCGAATGTGATCGTTGCCCAGAAGACGAATACCCCAACAAGGCTAAGGTCCACTGCATTCCCAGGAAGCTCCACTTCCTTGCCTATCAAGACCCCTTGGGATATGCTTTAGCTTCTTTAGCTATTTTCTTTTTGCTGGTTACAATTGCTATCCTGGTGATTTTCTATAAACATCATGACACACCGATTGTCAACGCCAACAACTACATCCTCCTGGTTTCCCTCCTGCACTGCTTCCTCTGCTCCTTCCTCTTCATTGGAAAATCCAGGAAGCTCACCTGTCTCTTTCGACAAACAGCTTTTGCCATTCTCTTTTCCATTGCAGTTTCCTCTTTCTTAGCAAAAACTGTCATGGTGTTCTGGCCTTCATGGCCACCAAACCAGGGAACAAAGCAAGAACGTTCTTAGGAAAACCATTGACCAACTCCATTGTCTTAGCCTGTCCCCTGGTCCAAGCAGTTCTTTGTGTCATTTGGCTGGCAACTTCTCCATTTCTCAACTTGGACTTCCACTCCTTGTTTAGAGAGATCATCTTAGAATGTAAGGAAGGTTCAGCTTCAATGTTTTATGTGGTCCTTGCCTACTTGGGTTTTTTGGCACTTGTCAGTTTCATGGTGGCATTTCTAGCTAGGAAATTGCCTGACAGTTTTAATGAAGCTAAGTTCATTACTTTCAGCATGCTGATCTTTTGCTGTGTTTGGATCAGCTTCCTCCCCACTTATCTTAGCACTAAAGAGAAGTCCATGGTGGCTGTGGAGATCTTCTCCATCTTGGCCTCTGGCGCTGGTCTCTTGGCTTGCATCTTTTTCCCCAAATGCTTCTTTATCCCAGGGGTCCCCAACCACTGGGCCCCGGACTGGTACCGGTCTGTGGAACATTTTGTATCGGGCCACTGGTTTGCTGGGCACCCGCCATCTTGTTTCGATGAGAAAGTCCTTCTGGGTAAGCTTTTCCAGTTGGAAAGCGGCATTTGGGTCGTGAAGGAATCCTTCTGTTTTAATTTCATCGAAGGGGGGGTGGCTTCGAACAAAACTGAGGTGCGAGGATTCTTTCAGCACCCAAGGCAAGGCGAGCCGAGCAACCATCCCAAAGTTGTCCCGAAGCCCATCGACTAAGGTACAAAGGAGGAATTGAAGGTGGCAGGGAGAAGCGGGGGACGGCTGGCTGGCCAGTCGCTCAGCTCGCCTTGCCTTGTGGATCATTTTGTGATGCCGGTACCGGGCCAAAAAAGGTTAGGGGCCACTGCTGTATCCTATTGAGGCCCAATATGAATCATAAAGAGAATATAATGAGGCAGATGAATTGCTGATTTATGTGGAATTTGTGTGCTGTGATTTTGGGAGGTTTTTGTATTCAATCTGATTTTTAAAATAAACCATGACAATGCAAGAAAATATTGTCCACCAAATAATTGGAAATAACATGATTTGATCAATCACAAAATATATGTTAATCAGCAACAATAACCCATCCTTTTATTCTTCATTCTTTCTGATTGTCCCCAGTGAGGTCCCAATAATCAAGATAAATGTAATCTATAATATTAAATATGTGGATGTTAGTTCCCAGCAGCACAGTTTCTCAGTTTATTTAATTTAATCCAGAGTCCTTAAAAAATTCTGGTTGGGTTCATTATTCATGTTGATAAACATGTTTTCAAAGCATGTTGTGAATAAAATGCTAGAATTAAAATATTAATTAATTAATATGGATACAAAGATGAAATTGCAGGAAAGGGGAAAAGTAGAATTCTTAAACTATTGTTTTATTGCTTTATTCTTTATTCCACACTGTGGATTCCTGAAGGAATGCTGGAAAAAACCTGAGTTCCCTTACTTATAGTTATTTGAAATCCCTGACCAATGAATATGAATCCTTACATCATCTGTTGCTTATGTGTTAGTCTCCCCTGCTTTTCTTAGATAAATATGAGTGTATCATTTAGTTGGGCAGACTCTCTTCATATTTGGAGGGAGTTCTGCCAGCACATGCTAGTTAATAAATACTTGATTATGTGTTTTGGGACATCTGTTTGATTCCACAAAGTGCCTCCATTTTTATTACCCCACCCCAGTGGTGGGATTCAAAAAATTTTACTTCGGGTTCTGTGGGCATGGCTTGGTGGGCATGGCAGGGGAAGGCAGGGTGATATTTGCTGGTTCTCCAAACTACTCAAAATTTCCACTAACAGTTCTCCAGAACTGGTCAGAACTTACTGAATACCACCTCTGCCCCACCCAGTACAGAGGTGTATTGTCAGAGCATTTGCAGTATGACTACTATTATGAGACAACCCAGGAGCAAAACACAGCACACAGAGACTTAGACATTTAACTGTGGTTTATATACAAGACATACAGAAATATACTTGGTAGGCAAAATACCTTACAAGCAATCGATCTTCTTCTTAACTCTACACAGAGAACTCTGCAATGGATATAGAACACAAGGAGAGAGTAACACGCCCTCTAATGGCTGCCTTATATAAACACCTCTTAAAGTGGTAGAACCCATCCTCAGTCTTAAAGAGACAGCACCAATGCTGATTCATCTTCAATTGCATCAGCCCTTTATTGCATCACCATACTCTGATCGGCTCTTAAATCCCAAGACCTTAACATTTATGATGAGTGATAGTAAATTTCCCGCAAAAGTTGACAAAGAAGAAAGCCCACTTCATAAGAAAAGCAGGGCCAACTGCTTCTGGCTCTAACTAGTTTTTAGATAACACTCCTGTAGAGTTTAAGGCAGCCTGACATCTTGAGAAATCCTCCTGTCTATTGTTAAGAACCATTGGAGGAGTTGGGAACTAACTTTATTTTCCCTGCCATGTGGGTATAAATAAACCAGCAATTCCATCCAAGCATGTTTGATTACTCACATTTGCAAGAGTACACCTGTCATGTGGCACCATGACCCATTAAGACTCAAACTACCTGAACTATGAAACAAGCTGAACTCCTGGCTGAACTTTCTGTGCAGCTGCTCAGTTTCATGGAATTGAATTTGTCACTTCATTTCACCCTACTCTCAAGTTCAGCTGCCCTGTGGATTAGCAACAAGAGACACAAACGTGTTTTTCCTCTTCTGATGAAGAAACAAAATGGAGTGCAGTTCCTTGCAATTATCAGAAGAGCAGTATTTTTAATACATCCCCCGTGGATTTCAAGCCATGAAAAAGATAAAAACCTGCTTTCAAAAATATCACCTCACCTTGTCTTCCAAAGAGCTAATTCCTGTGTTTGAAGAGATTCAGCTGCCCTTAATTTTCTGTTTGCTCACAGCCCAAACACAGGTAAGAGGAAGCATATTTGATATATTTACCCTGAAGCCATCCAGGTGACACGCCCTGGGTTTA